ATTATATAGTCTTACCTATTAAGTCATAAAGTCTTTAGAGATAACACAAAATTATACATCTTTAAAGATCTTTTAAGATATCAACACAAATGCTATACCAGCAGCAATCTGCTATCCCCTTTCTGTAATTTGTTGTTGCATGTCCAGTTTTCTCATGAAAATACACAGCAAGTTATTCAGATGCCCATTTTGAAGATGACTGTGACTACAAGGTCACCTTGAGGCAAAGGATACTTAAGGTGCAGTACTCATAAAATCCTCGGTTGTAAGTTCACTTAATTCTATTGTGTTTCTATTTCACTTCAGTGATGGCCTGGATTCTGTAAAGTAAGAGAAAACTGAAAAAAAAAAACAAGAAAGAAAGAAACTTACCAGTAACTGTATCTCTAAAGTTAGATTTTGCTGAGGACATGTTATTTGCTCGGGACATAATTTAAATGGAATCTGAAAAAATAAGTTATTTCACAGCCCTGGAAAAATAAAATCGACTAAAAGATAGGAAACTCATGGTAATAACTTTGGGGTTTTCATAGACTTTTCTTATGATAGTTGCTGAGTGCAATGCCTTCCCTTGTTTTTATAAATAAATAATTCAGGGCTACCATGTAATGGAAAAAGTAGGAAATGGAAACAATCACAGATTTTTTATGGGAAAACAAGAATGAGCTGACCCTCTCCTTTAGGATAAAATGCATGTTCTTAGAGAAAAGCGAGTTGAACAGAAACGTGGGTATTTATTTTTAGCCTGTGCCAAAATGATTCACTGGGTCATTTCCTGATGGAGTGCATTATCTTGGTAATTCTTATAACTCTTTATCTAATGTAGCCCATATATTGATTAAGGTTGTTTAAATGTAATGCCAGTGTGCATTTTCGATTAGATCACACATACCTTACACATGCACGCACACTAAATACTTCATGTTGTCCAAGTCGACTGTTTTGAACTATTGTTGTCCAGAATGCTTTCTAAAAAGAAATCCAGCTTAATTGGTATATTGTCTTTTTCAGTTCAGTGTAGAAATAAAAAAGGCTACATTGTGCTCAATAAAATTCTGCTGTTGAATATGATTTTTTGGATGTTCTAGTGTTATAAAACTCAAGATAGTAAGTGGGCCTACAGTGGCTGTGGAAGTCACTAACACATGAAAAGTGGGAAAACTGAAACCAATTCTCTAGGAACTCTTTGATGTGGCCACTCCACAAAGAATATATAAGGATATTTTCTTTTAACTAACAGAAACCGTGTCCTTGAAATTTGCACTTAGGATGAGTGACATGATTTGTTTGTGAGACTCAGACATCAAATAGGACATTTCTTCTTAAGAAACAGAAGCTGGCAACCTCATCGCTGATACTCGTTCCTGGCATAACACAGAACATAAAGACCAATGCTAGCCTAGTGAGATAAATCTATGTGGCTAGAAATATATTGTTAGAATAAGTGATTGAGGTGTGAAATACAGAACCAACTGGTTTGTCATTGTTGTGTAGGTTGTCATTTTTCTGAAATGATAAGAGATGATGCATTTAGTGGATCATCTCACATAGAATTAACTAAATTTATTGTCACTGAACCAATATAGTCTTGAACTGTATGTCATTCACTGAAATAGGGTTCCCCAAATTATGTGCTCATAAACATTTCTTGGAATTTAATTGTTTTGGAGTGTGAGCCAGTAATTTATGCTTTTAAGAAATGCTGCAAGCAATTCTTATGCTAAAGGACATTTGGGAAAGTCTTCATTAGAGCTTATATTTCTATGAATTCATTGTTAATGTGAGGAAAATAATTGTTAATTAAGTCTAAAAAATTTAGCACATTTTACATTGATGTATTTATTTTCACAACCAACATCTTTGGTATCCCTGTATATTTTTGCTATTTTTTCTTCTTTAACAGAAAGAGAAGTAACAATAGATCTGTATTTTCTTAGAAGGGAGGTGCTTTTATTTAATGCTTAACTATTAATTATTTTTCTTCTACAATGGTACAATCACTTTTTTGAAGTCATATATTTCATGACAAAGTTGCTTGTCTTGACTAGTTTTTTTGTGTGTCCTTCTTTTCGAGAAATTCTCATATAAACTGTTATTGTCGATATAGTTCAGCTTTTCTCAGGGCTTCATTGTGAGTTCTGGTGAACAAACTGGGAGGAATTATTAAAAGCAAGACCCAGTTTATGGTGACGTTCATCCACTGCAAACTTTAATTTTGTATACGAAAGAGTAACACCAGTTGTAATGATAGAAAAAATAAACCCTACACCCTGTGTTTCTCAAAGAGGGGAGGTCCTTGGGCCACCACGTTAGAATTACCTGTGGAGCTTGTTAAGTAACAGATTCTGAACCCCACTCCAGTACCATAGGCATTCAATCTGAATTTCAATTTTTAACTAACTTCCCAGGCAACCGTTCTGATGTCTAAAATTTGAGACTCATCTGTTTGGCTCCTATAGTTTTCAACTGTTGGTTATCTTATAGAATCACCCGGAGGGTATTAAACAAACAAAGCAATGGACAAACTGGATTAATTTCATCTGAAATCTCTGGGACTTTGGGATGTTTTAAATTTCCCTGGTGCACCCAGGTCTTAGAATTATTACTAGCAGGCCCATTAGAAGGAGGCTATGAAAGAACCATCCCACTCCTCACCGAACCTTTATATCACAGTATCAAGCATGCCAAAATCCTAATTTCTATTCATACATTAGAACATTTAGCAATAATTTTCCCATTTTATTGAGGAAAAGCATGCTGAGGCCACTGAAGGAAGGATTTTCATTCCGCGCTTGGTCTTCCTTTGAAGTTCATAGTTGTGTAAACAGTTCTTTATTTGCCAAAGACAATCGAACTGAGATACTTCATTGTTTAATGTAAACCAGCTACTGATTTTCATAGTTTTATAGTTCTGTTTGTAGTACACATGGGCTTTTGACACGTTATTCTGCTCTCTGATTTTGAGGATGTTCTTTTTTGTTTCCCAGAAGCTGGAAATTGGACTGCCTTAGCAGTTTTTCCATAATCTAGTCATTCATAAACCATTTTGATGACTTTTGCCATATATCACCTTTCCTAGACTATTATTTACCTATGTTTTTGTTTAATCATTTACTATATATTATTCTATCTGAAACAGTATCCACAAAGTCATTTGATCTACTACTTAAGTTTTTTTTTTAAATTTTAACACATTTTAAATCAAATATATTACTATTCAAATGAAAACTTCCCTCTGTGTACCATCTCAAACCAACATATCACTGGAATAAAAATCCCTAATTTGGGCAAACAATTGGCTAAAGTATTCATCAAATTTAGATATTCTTTATTCTTCAGAATTTCACCCCACCCTCCTCCATACACATCAGTATTACTGGGCATTAAACAGTGACTGAAAATGTAAGCTTAATCAATGAATTTGCTTGCATTACTCTTACAGGCATACATGCATGATAAAAATCCCACAGCAGTAAGTGATTGGGTTACTACTATTTTAATTTTCTGAATATTTGCCTCATTGTATGTTTCTATTTTTCCAGTAGATGAGGATCTGATATCAACTAGGAGTCTTCTAGAAATAAGAAAGATGTTTCATGAGTATCAGTCTTTTAACCAGTTGTTAATAATATGAGTGTAATTGAAAGTTTCTGAGAATTTATGTGTGTGTGTGTGTATGTGTGTGTGTGATGTGCACACATAGTCCCAAATGTTCTTCAGCTATAGAGTTCTCTCCTGGTATTTTTAATAATAGGTCAGATCCTATGACTCACAATTTAAAATATAATATATAAAATATACACTGAGTCATAACTCATACAACATTTTACTTTTTCAGTAGAAGTTATTTTTTCACACTGAAAAATCCTATTGAGGTAGAAATGACTTTATGAAATTTTAGATTTATCAATTACTTTGACATTCAATCTGAAATAATCTTAAGTTTTAAAAAATATTACTTTCCATTTTTCATAATAATTTATCTCTGCTTCATCTTTAATAAGTGCTTCTTAAGAGGCTGTGCTAAGACATGAATTTTGCTGAAACAGCCCATTTATTCTAAAAGGTTTATGGTTATTCACTTGTTATCCTTGTGATGGAAAGATTTACCACTTTTCCCCTCCCCCAAATAAATAAATAACAATTTTATCTTTAACATAAAATGAAAAGAGCAAAAATATTTCCTTTTAGGAGTAAGTATGCACAACAACTAGGTGGAAACCGAGTGGAAAAAAAAAACAAACACTGATTAAAGATGTTGATCATTTAAAAATATTACCTGAGGGGACTTTATTTTAAGGTCCTTACGTTCGTGCATGCTCAGTCGCTAAGTCGTCTCTGACTCTTTGTGATCCCATGGACTGTAGCCCACCAGGCTCTTCTGTCCATGTTATTTTTCTAGGCAAGAATACTGGAGTGGGTTGCCATTTCCTCCTCCAGGGGGTTTTCCTGACCCAGGAATCGAACCCGTGACTCCCGTGTCTCCTGCTTTGGCAGGCAGGTTCTTTACCACTGAGCCACCTGGGAAGCCCATCCTTATGTGAGTGGTACCTTAAAAAGAAAGGAATAAAATACCTGGGGATCAAGAAGTAAGGAAAAGAAACAGCAAAGAAGATTTACATGTTATCATCCCTTTCATTTCTGATCCTCAAAGGATTGTATGAAATAGTTGAAAGGAAAATGCAGAATTAAACCTTGAAAAGATCATTAACATGATAATGACTTTTAAGAGATTGAATTTGTGACTCAAATTTCTCAAAAATCGAGAACTGAAGAAAATAAAGAAGGACTGTAAGTGAACTTGACTTTTTTTTTTTTTTGAACTTGACTTTTTAACAAAGTTTTTCTTTTTGTTCAGCCAGTTGGCCATTTCTTAAGTCCCTTTCTCCATAATCTTAATATGAATTATGTCTAAGAATTATAAGCTTATACAGACATAAACAGAGAGGGAAAGAGAAATATAACAAGAGCTGTCAAATTAACGAAGGTACTTACATAGGTTCCAACAACACATTATTTAATTTATTTTCATCTATGATCAGGTAGAAACCAGAAGAAACATATGTAGCTTAATAAATAATTTAATTTCTTGAATTTCTATGTAACATATAAATTTATTTTTACAGGATATATAGAGAGCATACTCATAGAGAGCAACAGACTTATGAAACGACTATAAAACACAAATTATAATTCAAGTTTAAAATTTCTCATTTTTATACTTGTATTTGTCTATTGTCCTATTGCTAGTCAAAGCAAAACCAAATATATAATTGTAAGTATTCTAAGAAAAAAAGGAGCGCCTCCATCACCTACGCATGTTACATACATTCTAGATTGTACAAAATCAAAGAGGGTAGGCAAAACTAAAGGGAAACACTATGGAAAATGCACTTTTTACTGACTGTTGAACATATCTGAAAGCGTCTGAGTTTAAAATTGATTTGAACACCAGCAGAGGAAAATGACCAAATTCATTTTCCTATTTGGGTTCTCTCAAACTCTGAAAATGTAAAAGTTTTTACAATTTAATAGCAGATTATATGAACATATCTCCACTACTTCAGTGGAAAAAACACACTAAGGATTCTAGCTACCAGGAGCATATGTTGCGAGGAATATGGACAATTGTCCATGTATACTAACAGAAAGATGTCTTCATCCCAGTTGAGAATTAACCTAAAACACTCACATCCAATCTCCCCAAATTTAGTCTCTCATTGACTAGTAAGGATAGATCCAAATTACTTTGCCACATGTTCATGCACTATGTAATATGTCATTTTACATTAAATCTTTTTTTTTTTAATGACCAGCATGCCCTTTGAAACTTAAGGTTATCTGGACTATGAAGACTGAAATTTACACAACATCAATATTACATGTAAGAGTCTCAAGTTCATGTGCAGTTCTTCGATTTCTACTCATTTAGTAGTGGAGGAAATATAGTGTAATGACTTGACTTTGTTAGGAAGAGAAGATTTTTCAGGCTGTGGATGCTGGGGGATGTATTGTGAAGGTAGTGAACATAGTGAATGGTAGAAAAACAATAGTGCCTTACTTATTTCAGTGAACAATTCAGAAACCTGAGTTTGTCAGTGGACTCAGAGACTTTAGAGGGGCACTTCCTAAAGGGCAAAAGGAAATTTGTCTTTTTATGTCTTTTTATTTGTAGAGATGTTTTGTGTTCTGAGCCTAGAAGGAAGAAATGATACTTGATGGAAAAATCAGAGCTGAGTTCTTTCTTTTCAGTCTGGGCATTTTCTATACATGTGACTGAAGTTTGATGATGACAAAACAGAGAAGATTAGGATTAACTCGTCATCATCATCCTCCCCTTTACTCACACTGAGTCAGGTCTTACAGTTCCTTGTGGCAGTATCTTAATTAACATAGCACCAACTTTCATCTTGCTGCCCACCAGGAGCAAAAAGTAAAACTTGAAATTACCACCATGTCAGTTCATTCTCAAAATTCTTCATATTGCCTCAAAGTTATATCATAAATCCTGAAACTGGCATAAACTCAGTTGCTGAAAACCAAGTACATAACCAACTCTAAATCTTAGCATAAGAAAACCGGGTCCCTTTGGAAAAACATGTCAAATGGTTGTTTCTTCTACTCCTGCCCTAAGTTATTTCTTCTTAATTTTGTTGTAGGAAAACAATTAAATCAACCCAGAAAAAAGTTTAATGACATAAGGCATCATGCCAAATTGCATGATTTCACATTCCCTACCCCTCAGTTATCTTTTGAGTAAATTAAGAAATGAATAAACTATCAACTCTCATTTATTTGGGTCTGAATTACTTGGTCATCTAAGTTTTGCCTCACTATAAACCAAGTCTCCCACAAAGTTGGGTCATGTTGGAATTGCCTCCGTTTGTTTAAAGAATAATAATCATTTCCTGAATTTTCATGAATGAAGGTAAGAAATAGTAGCCATAACAGTGTCTGCAAGATACATGGTTTATCTCAATGTCAGTTTCTGAGAATACGCTTTATATCCAAATATCATAGCTTTTTAGGTGATGGATGTCTTTGAGACTCACATCCCAGAAAACACAGTTTTGTACATTTTCACAATTCTGTCTGGAATTTCAAGTGTTTTCTTACTTCCTTTAATCAGTCTTACATACTTAAGGTGTCCTTAAACCCACGTTTAAGGTCTATTGTTAAGGACAATGCAAATTTGACTGTTGGTTGCTTTCTTTGTTCAGAATAATAAAGTGGGAGGTGTTAGTGATAAGGCAAGGAATAGCTCTGCTTCCATTGACAAGTTACTCCTTTTAGGGAACTCAGTTGCATAATCATCTCTTTGTAATAACTGTATAGGTTGTTAAAAAATTCTTTAGTAATAGGGAATATGTGTCTGTAGATAGAATTTCTAACCCATTTAATAATGGGAATAATGATCAAGCAAGTTCAGATCAGAAACAGTAAGGGATTTTCTGCTTCTGTGTCTCTATGTTCTCTTAGTTCCAGTCTGTCATTTTACTTGCATGGTATCAGTGATCTTTGAATTTCAATAAGCTTTCTTCTGGGACCAATGATATAAACTTAAACTAAATTAAAACAAGAAAGAAATTAAGCACAAGATGAAAAATACTTCTTACAAAAAGGAGAACTAGGGCATCCAGAACCTGAAAAAAATTTACAAATATACGAATGAATGTTTTCTTAGAAATGGTGATCTTAATTTACTTAAGTGGTACCTGTCAAAGTTAATGACCATCCTAGGATAAACAAAACTTACTTGGCGTTTAGGGTCAGCTCTCAGTTAACATCTGTTCTTGTTATAAAATGCTAAATAGTAATGAAATAAGGAAGAAGTATTTAGGTATTTTAGTCAACAGGGTTCAAATGCATACATTATGAAGAAAGTAATCAACACAAAATGGTTGACTGACACAATCAGGGGTTTAGTTATAGAAATAGAGTAGGTTCAGGTGTCTTAGGTCATTGTGTCTCGGATTTATTTCATATACTTGATCTTAAATCAGCTAGCTGCATGAGACACAAAATCCTTCTCTGTCCACAGAAGACCTAAGGAACAGATTACAAATTAAATAATCAAAGATTTGAGCACCAGTATAAAGGGTAGGACGCTCATAGGCAGCAAGTAGAGGTTACATTAAAAACCCAGGTGGACTTAGGAATCCATAACATGTCACTTGCGGTCTGAGTAGCAAATGATGAAAAACAGGCAATACCAAACATCACACATATCCAAGTCCAGATGTCCATTATCTCCCTCAGCTTGGCTAACAAATTCACACTTTCAACTGTGTTTTTACAATTAGAATATTCTTATCCCCCACAGCCCCCACAGAAGAAAGAGAAGGATGAAACCTAAGCACTAGGGAAAATACATTTTTTTCTCTCTTTATTGTGAATTCTAACATAACTTTTGTTAAACATAGAGCACGTGAACACATGACAGTTTCCTTCATTTGTTCTCACATGTAGCTGATAGAGGAATACTCGGGAGGAATGTTTCTAAAGCCATAGAGAACTTCTTCTTCCATTGATTTTCTAGAAATATGACAAAGCATTAGAGGAAAAAGAAAAGCGTTTTTTAAGTTGTGAGAATATCAAATATTACCCATCAACCCCTGAATCATGCTATTCAAAGTGCTTAAATCTACACTAAAAATAGAACAAAAAATGTACTCCCAATGCAGCTAAATTAACACCTATGGATGCCTAAAATATGACTGTGGTCTGAATACTTCCTCTACATTTATTCCACACTTCCATCGTGCACTTAAAAAAATTAAAAAAAAAAAACAACAAAGAAAGAAATAAACCAGGCCATTGCCATATTTGCAGTTTTCTGAGCACTGGGGGAATCTGGAATCCAGTCCAGTGACGTCACTGCCACCAGTCCCTGACAGGTGTCCATAGCATAAACAATGGCCTTCTTGAATTCTGAAAATAACCTAATGTGCAAAGCTGACCTTAAAGTTTATGTGTCCTTGCAGCTTCAGTTCTGGTTTGTGAAAATGTAACAGAGGTCCAAGGGGAGCACGGGAATAAAAAGAACAGATTGTGGACAAGGACCCAGGCAAGTTGTCAGGGAAATAAGCATTTTTTTTTTTTTTTAGCAAATAAAAATCAATGCACATCCTAAAGCTCCTTTACCTTGTCACACAAACATGAGATATTCGCAGCTTTACAAAATTCTTATAATCATCTCTCATACATTTGCAATTCAATTTTACCCTCACCAATGAGCTCTACTGAAGTTTACATTTTTGTGTGTGTGGCCAACTCATACCTTAGTATTGTGACCAAAACTGTAGAATTGTTTTCTCATTATATGGTGGTAGGAATAAAGCAAACATACAATAGTCACTACACAAGCCCACGGACGATGGCTGGAATGGAAGTTCCTACACTGAATCACTAAAGTAATGCATAAGTTCTATTATCAGTGTTTTCATCACATCGATTTTTTTTTAAAACTAAAAGCTACTTAGGTAATATTTCCCTTTAGCAATTTTGCCCTCTGCAAGTTCCTTTAGGATTGATTTTGTATCATTTTCAACATGAATATGTATTAGCTATTTATGTCATTGATTTCAAACATAAAGCTAAATGGTGGGAGATGTATTTCCTGGGAGCATCAGCTTCCTGATTCTGACAGAATTATACAGTTAAAATAAAACTAATTCTTTACACAGGAAAATTATTTTAAATACTTTCTCATCTAATTTAAAAACTATTTTGTGTAAATAATGTTTATTTTGAAAATACTGATTTCTGTTGGTAATCATATGTTTGACCTCCTGAGTTCTTATATAAACACTTTGAGATTAATAAGTGTTGCTTATGTTCACAAACTGAAACCAAACACTTGATTCTGATTATAGCACTGAAAATTAAATACAGTGAAGTAACATTTAAATACAAGGGGACCCCATAATAAGTTTCACAGATTTGCACTGACTCTTTAGAAAATAACATTTTCTATAATACAAGGTGACAAAACATATTTGATGACACATCCTGTCCTTCCCTTTGGTTTGGAAGCCTTCAATGTAAATTTCATTTACAATGTAAATTTCATTTTGACTTGTGTTGATTCACCCTTTTGAGTTAACTTGCCTGGCATTTGCACATAATCTCATTTGCAGAAAATCATAGAGGGAAAAGAGGAAGTAGAATAGTAAACAAAAACAGCCACGAACACATTCATGCCTTTCCAGGAAGTGATCAAATATAGGGCTTGATTTTTTTGTTTTTTTTTTTGTTTGTTTGTTTTTTTGTTTTTTTTTTGTTTTTGTTTCTTTTGTTTTGTTCTGTGTTTTTATATATATATATATATATTTATATAAGGGTACATCAACTCATTTAAAAAACGGAAACAGCACACTCTCCCCCATTTTCATGCCCTTGATCTTCTCTTCTTAGCACTCTGTAGGGGTCACTGTCAAGTGACTAGCACACTTTTGGGTCTGGAGTGTATTCTGACGAGCAGTGAATTAAATGTTAAGACAGTTAGACCCCACCCCCTACCCCTTCTCAGAGTTTACACGTCATGCCGCCATTAGAAGGGTAGAGGTGGGGAATGAGGTGGGACAAGGAAGAGATTCAGGGCTCTGATTGGTGGGGCCCTCCTATGAGCAAGTGTTCTCATTATTTTTTTTTCCCGAGTGGCAATGCTGGCATTCGTTGCACTGCTTTCTGAAGGCCCACATGGCCCTGCTGATCCTAGGTAGAACCCAAGAGAGGATCCGGTGCTCCTTGTCCCATCGGATAGATTTGTCCAAGCACCCCAAGGAAATGTTAAAAGCAAAACAAAAATCAAGGAAAGGAAATAAAAACCCATTCTAAAACTAAACTAATGAAGCAAAAAAGGGTTTTCTATCTATACATAAGTCTCTTCTTTAAAAAAAGGTAAATTTACAAATTCCAATGACATATAAAACAAAGTCAAAAAATGTAATGGTAAGAGACATGGTAAAACAGGAAGACACTGATGCTACAAAGAAATTGCAAAAAACATATGTACAAGACCCTGTTTTTCCTCATGTTCTAGAGATTGTAATGCATGTTTTTGTTTGTTTGTTTGTTTTTTAAACAGCAGCAGTCGAGGATTTAGTTCCAGGCACTGGACTGCAGACTCTACTCAAACTCCCAGGGACGGGGTGTCCCTTGCTTTTCTGTCACCAGATCACACTGGATATACTGGTCTCCCGTGGCAACAGCGGCAGGATGGCACTGTTTGTGTGGGCCTCGTCTGGATTCTGCTCCCTGCTCGATTTTGTCTGTGGCCGCTGCCCGTTGATCAGCGTCATAGGGATGTTACAATAGGTATGCTGATTGCCTATGGAGGTAAGAGGCAGGGTGCCAGTAGGAGGTACGTCATACTCGTAGCTTCGGTAGTAGTGTTTCTGACGCATTTGTGAATGGTAAGTGTTGTGAAAGGTGGATCGGAGATCTGGATGGGCAGTGGCTAGAGCTGTGGAGGTGGCGGCAGCCATGGAGATGGCTGAGACAGTCTGCAGCTCCCCAAAAGGCCCCTGCTCACTAACATCTAAAGCCTGCTCATGTGTAATGGGTTCTATCCTCTTAAAAGGCATTTCGTATTGTAAACGTTTCCAGAACTTAGAGTTCAACTTGTTGCATTTTGGTCCATGCCACTTAATAACGGTCAGGAGCTTGATGGTGTGCTTGAGGGCCTCCACCTCCTGGTAGTTCATGATTCCTCGTAGTTCACTGCACTCAATGAGTATCACTTTAATTTCTCCAGTCACAAGCATGTTTCGAAGTCTGGTCTCCAGCTCAAAGATGCTCCAGCCTCTTCTGACCACGTAATTTGGGGTCATGACAATAATCAGCCGCTTGCTCTGATCTACACACCTTGCCACATCTTCAATGTACGCTACAACAGAGAAAAGGGTTTATCAGAATAAGTGAATTCAACATTTGGTCCAGAAAGCCTCAATGGACTCTCTTTCACACATGAAAAGGAGAATTGTTGGTTGTTAGGTAAACCCTTGAGAAGATGAAAATAGCCGATGATCACTTAGAAAAGAGGATGGGGCTTTTGCTTCTCTTAGTGATAGAAATATTTTCCCAGGTACAAATCTCTCATTTGGTTTTTTTAAATGTCAAGGCTCATAACATGAGACACTTTATAGAATAGTGGAAGTAGCTTCCTCAGGGGTATCAAAACTTATTTTTCATTTGAACATATCATGCCATTTCTTTCTTGAGAAACTGACAGATGTAGAAGAAGCAAAAGTTAAAATTTTGTCTAAAAATGATGACTACACAGACAGATACAAGGACACTCACACTCTTGAATGAAAACATTAACTTACTTCCAGTTGGGATTAAATCTCTATCTGGTATAAACAACTTATATCCATAATGCTTTTCAAGCATATCAGGCAGGATTTCAAGAGCAAAGCGTTCTTCTTCCCCAGTCTCTTGATTCCACTGGTCAGGATCCACTTTGGTATATGATAAGTATGCATCGTAATCTTTATTATCTGTCAAGAACATTACAGAGTAAAGTTGAAGTCACTACTCTACAAAGAAAGCAATAGGACATGAGAACAATCACCTTATTTCATAAGTATCTCCAAATGCCCCACTTCTCGGAGACCAGAGGAAGAAGTTTTTATTAATTTTCATTAATAATTCAATAATGCCAAGTACTGTGGAATGAATTTGGGGGTATAAAGGAGTTACATTTTGTTGTTATTAAGACAGCAGGAGAAAAATTAATGAAAACAGAAATGAAATGTTAACATTAAACATTTTTGATGCATATATCATAGAGAATTTTGACAGCTTATAATAGCCACATATTTGGATAATATGTTCTTATTCTACATAATTGTACATTTCACCTAATCCTTCCTTTGATGATTTTACCCTGTTGAAAAAAAAGAAAGAAAATTGAAATTGGCTTGGCTGGCTTGAGGAATGGTTTTTAGGTTGTGTGCTGTGTGGTATTAGGTTGTGCTGATTTTCCTTTGGGGAAAATAAAACAAAATTTGGAATAATTAATTTTTCCTTGGGAGCTGGTTCTTAGAGTTCAGTATTAAGACTATTAATATGCTGAATTATTATAGAAAAACATATTGTTTTCCTGATCTTCACTTATCTTACATGTAAATTACTGCCTAATTTTATTTCATGTTAATCAGTTTGACTGAAAGAATCAAAAAGTATAATACAAATGAATTAAACTTAGTTTCAAAATTTTGATTTCTTTCTTCATTCTTCTCCATTTTTACATTTTTACATGAGAACCCTTCAAATTTTTGATGACTGCTATTGTGTGTCATCTTTATCTTAGCATAAACATCCCCAAATTCTCATTTGTTGTTTCTTAGAACAAGAAGTCATTGATCTTCTGCAGAATCTCATCTGTCAATCTCCTTTTCAGAGTGTGATATGAGGATTCATAATTCACTTCAATTCTAAATGCTATTAGTAGGCCATGCCTGTCAATATCAATATGCTTAGGTCTCTTTTGTGCTTCCTTGATGATTGTCATTGATTTCTTTTGATTATTAGAATTGATAATTATTAGATCAAGTTAAGTTGGAAAACTCTTATATTTCAGAACAAAAGGATCTTGGCATTTGGTATAGAAAATTTAAAATATTTGGGGTATAAAATATCAAAGATAGAGGGGCATCCATGACTTGCTCTGGGTGGCTCTGGGACACTCCTTTTGACTTCAAAGGCACTAAAACTCACTTCTGAAGGTACATATGTATGTTCATTTAGTAGTCTGATAATCCTGAACTACCTATAAGTCATTCTACACCTTATTATGGAAAACTCAGAGAACTGTTTACTTCACTTAAAGTTAACACAGGCATATAAGAAACTAGCAACTCTACTATAGGATCCCTGGGAAAATAAAAACCTTTAGCTATGGAAAATTTTTTTAAAGCAACTTTCAGGTAATAAAAAAAGTAATCATCCCAATCGTGTCATATTTTGGTATTTGGCATTTTCTTTATTCTTTAAGCAGGATATAGTTGTACACAGTAATTCAATTTTCACAAAAATGATAATTTTATTTATTATACCGTGTCTATGCAGATATGCCAGTGGTCTATAGTGGTACCATTTTGTTGACATAAATACTTGAGTAATAAATAATAGAAAATAGCACATAATAAAGCTACAATACCAGTTAATATTCAATTAAAATGTCCATTTATTAGATAATCACATGCCATATCTATGAGATAAAGTCTTCCTTCACAATATGGGTCAGTAACTTCCAGTCTAGTAGAAGACATAGACAAGTCCACAATCTATTTCCAGAGGATAAATATGTTGCAAAGAATAGTACAAGCGTCATGGGCCAATGGGAAGACTCTTTAAACCAGACTGATGATTGCAGAATGATTTCATGCATATACTATTCTTTTTCTGGGATTATTTCTCTTCTAACTTTTTACAAAGTACTATAAAGTACTGAAGTTTGCCCAAATCTGGGATGGGTAATGACTAGATCATCATTCTTCACCTTTTGTCTTGTATAGGCTCAAAAGCATTTGAAAACCAGATCAATATGAACACCAAAGAGAACAGAGCACTTATGACCACATGTAAACAACTGGTCCACCAATACTAGTAAGTTCTAGATGGATGTCACTTTTGCTTATATGACACTGTTTCTGGTTCTCCTGCCTCATCCTTAGACATCTCTCTTCCAATTCATAAATGCTGTTATTTCTTAAGATGTTTTCGGTGGCCTGTTTCATTTGTCTCTCAGCCTATGTTCCCTTAAAAATCTCTTTTTCTCCCATTACATCAACAACCATGTCTATGTAAATGTCTCCCTAACTTAGATGTCCAATCTTGTCTTCTTTCTCATGAACCTGTAACCTGGACATTCAACATGTTCACAACCAAACAAACTTTCCATCTCAAGCTTTGTTCTTCATGTTTTATTTCACTTAAATTTAGTAACATAAGAATCTTACGTCTACAGTCTCTAAATGTCAGATGCATGTTTCATTTATCTCTTTTCATTACCAATAATCTCACAGCCATTCACTGGTAAAAATCCTTTGGATTGTTTCCATCCAGGGTGAGGTCCTACTCTCTCCTCAGCTGCTATAATTATATTTCATTGGGTCTTTCTTCCCTGTTTCCTTATTCTTCTGGCCCATTCCACATAGAATCAGAAAATTTATTTTTTTAAACCTCACAACTGATTACATTTATGGTAGCTTGAGAAATACTTATGGCTACTCATTGTCAAAAAGCCAGCAGCTATCTCTGCCTTTGGGTTCCTTTCAATTTGAGTCTGATATCTTCGAGTTGAAGGTGATCTCTTTTACCACATATTATATTATTGTGCTCACATCTAATCTTCTTTCTTTGACCACAAGATCCTTGATTCAGATATATGACTAGGGATTAGTAGATGCTCAAACATATCTGCTGATTAAATGAATGAATGTCCTCTCATTTGGGTATCACGTGACATATATCTATGGCTAATGAAGAGATTTTCTCAAGATTTGGGCCATTTCCTAGGAGAGATGGCTTTGGTGATACATATTCCAAGTTGCCTGGACTCCTCAAGTAATTACTAGGAGTGACAGGGTCAAAGTTTAGCAAAGTTTCTTTGGAATAATCTTGAACTGTATTTTCTCACTGTGACTCATTGAAGGCTCAGAGTCCTTGTAAGCTTCTCTGAGAAAGTGGTTTTCATACTTAAGCATGAATGGCAACAATTTGAAAGACTTGCTAAAATACAAACTGATAGGCTCCACCTCCGGAGTGGAGTTTAGATATTCTAAATTCAGGATATCTAGAATAGGTCCTTAGAATTGGAATTTATAGAAAACTCTCAAGTGATAACTGCTGCCAGCCCAGGGACAACACTTGGAGAAACTCTGCTTTACAACAGAGTATAGTTACTCCAGGCATGGGTATTGGAGCTTCCCAGGTAGCTCAAATGGTAAATAATCTACCTGTGATGCAGGAGACCTGGGTTCAGTCCCTGGGTTATGAAGATCCCCTGGAGATGGGAATGGCAACCCACTCCAGTATTTTTGCCTGGAGAATTCCATGGACAGAGGAGCCTGCTGGGCTACAGTCCATGGGGTCACAAAGTGTCGGACATGACTGAGTGACCAACACTTTCACTTTCATAGGTACTCCAAGGTCTCAAAGGTATCAAAGAATTGCAGTCAGCTGCTAGGTAACTGATCAAAAGTATCACAAAGCCTACACACTGCAGCCTCAGCTCCATGATAAGGGGACTTGATACTTACAAGCTGTGTGCTCTATTTTATCTAGAAATAAGATGAAAATCCATGAAAATCCACACTTTCATCAAAAAGGGGATAAATTCATACCTAGACTAATATATTCAGTAACCATATTAAGATTAAATGAACCCCGGGAATAGGTACTGTGGTCTCAGCCAGTTTTCTATCTCTTTATGTCATCTGGATGAGTTTGCAACATTTAAGCTAATATCCCCCAGGTAAAAAGGAGATGTTCACATGGAGGTTATTCTGGTAAGAAATAGGACTAAAAGGCCCCTTGCAAGCAGCTACAGCAGCATCCTTCCTCAAATCAATGGACACTTGATTGATATCTAATTTCTCTCTTTCCCCAGAGTCTATGTCAGTGCAGTACTGGGCTAGGCATTTATTTACCAACAGAAGCAAACTCCTGATTTGAAAATTATCAGACTGAAAATACCACGTCATATATCATGCTAAATACAGTAACGTTTCCTGAGTCAAAAACATATGGATTCTAAGGTTTCTTCTTTTTCTCAGTTACCTGTTGAATCGGAGTCATGGGAAATATCTCTTAGATATTTTTTATGTCTGTAAGAATGCATATTGACTAATCTTAATGTGTATAAGAAATTGAAAATGTGAGATTTTTTATAATCATAGAAAAAACAAAATTATGCTAAGATTTTTAAAGGATAGGACTGTGATCTTTCAAATTCAACTTCAGTTTATAAATAGCTGAAAACGAGTTAGTCATAGAAGGATAGTACCACAATCTATATCTTATTCTGAACTTTATTCTCTAAATTTGATTTTCCGTAATTTAAACCCTCAAGTATAATTCTGTTGACTGCAGAGATGGAAAGCAGTTGACATACACACCTGTTGTAATAATATTTATAGGTTCTAATATAGTCATTGGTTTACTCTTTCCATGATTTTCAAGAGATTCTCACTGTAATGTCCCACAAAAAAAGCAAAATAGGAATGAAGTCATCAAGATGGTCCAATAAGGTATCATTTGCATATATCCTCTCTTCTGCAGCACAGAGCCAGTCCTGCCAACCCAAGTATCCATCCAGTGACCAGGTATTATCCAGAGGGTGACCTGGTGGGAGCCATACCCATCCACACACCTGGCAGTAGGTCCACCAACTGAAGACACAACTGTGGATCCTGAAGTGAAAACCTGTCCAAGTGTTATACTACTGAACAAGGTTCTAGAGGTATTCCTATCCACCCAGAGACCAGATATG